GCAGAAGGGAAGAAAGCAGAGCCCAGGACCGGGATCAAAACAGAATCCCGGGGAGGCTGAAATAAAGCGAAAAACAATCATCACGCGAGAACATCGAAGACGACTCGGAGGGTGGGATTGTTGAGGAGGAGGGGGGCCGATCGGTGGTGCACAACACCGAGGGTGATGACCTGGCGACGGGGATCGTCTCGTCCAACCACGGTAAGCGACGTTTTTCAGTATCTACGGAGTATTCCAAGCAGGGTGGAAGTAATTATCCCAAACTGCAAGTGGTTTCGGGTGCTGACAAATTGAGCTGCACGGGTGTAGGCCGTGGGAGCAATAATGTATTGGGGAGTAGGCNAACTGCAAGTGGTTTCGGGTGCTGACAAATTGAGCTGCACGGGTATAAGCCGTGGGAGCAAGAATGTATTGGGGAGAAGGCCCCCGCAAGAAATTCTTGATCGTAGTGTGTCGCAAGATGCACGTGCACAGCTTCAGGAACCAATCACTAGTAAGACACACAGGGATTTTCCAGAAGTAGGGGTGCCGAACACGCCCCCTTCGTCAGATCAAACGAAGTCTAGCATTGGCAGAATGGAAAATGTAAATGGCAATGCAACACCAGCGGGGAATGCGTTACACACTCAAAGGGAGGAAACACGCAAGGCAAATTCTCCGAGAACAGTGAGGTGTCCGCTGTATCCTCAAGCGGGACACACGGTTGGTCGAAATGGAGCCAAAAAGGGGTCAATTAATAGAGACACCAGAAAGGAAAAAAGCGTTACCGTTGATCGTGCTGGCAGCAAGCAGAACCATGAAACTGTTGCTTTACCAGTGATAGGAGAAGAGGGCGTGATAGGGGATGCATCCGCCTCTGAAAATTCTCTCAAGCGTGAGGTTGAGATAACAGCGCAGGAGGGAGGAAATTTTGGTGAAGCACAAGAAGTAACAAATCGCATTTTTGCCGTACAAGTATCTGTTAGTTCTGTGTCAGGACAAAGGAGTGATGCGGTGTACCCTCCGCCTCCTTTCACGTTTGCTGCAGGTGAAGCGGCG